TGGTGTCCCGCTGGTGTCGTGGTGTCGCGATGTCGGGTCAGTTATTCGTTAGCTCTCTGTTCTGTCCCCCCCCGTTCAATTAGCAATGCCATCCAGCCGCGCGGGGGCATACCATCGATCCCCAATAATAGGAGGTGTGGGCCAGATGCGCACCACGCGTTCCCCCCACCCCACCCCACACCTCCTCATCGGCTGTACTTCAGCGGCGCCTGCGTCGTGAGCAAGTGCCTGAGCTGTCAGACTGTGTGACACGCCCGAGAAGAAGCTCGCGGCCCGCATGCGACAGGCTGGCCGGCTCTGGGCACCTCGAGGACGCCCGCGCGGACGTTCCCCCCTGGCAGCACTGCTTCTCGCCTCCGCCGCCCGGCCTCCGCCGGGGCCCCCTCCTCCGCCTGCCAGGGGCCCGCCTCGCGGGGCACCTCCGCCAGGCCTCGCGGGACTCTCGCAGGCTCACGCCGAGCGGAGGTCGAGGCTCCTCAGAACGTGTGCTGGCGCCGAGGTGTGCCTGTCCACCGACGCCCCCCCGTGCGACTCGGGCGGTGCTACGATGGCCGCCACAGCCCGAACGGAGTGAGCCCACGTGAAGCCACCACACGCCCTGAGGATCCTCGACGGGGGCAAGGTCTCCATCCCCCGCGCACATCCGAGGGCCCAAGGCCTCCCACGTCCTGGCCCGGCTCAGCACCGTGCCCCTCCTGCACAGCGACAGCCGCTGAATCCCCGGGCAAGGCCCGAGGATCTTCGCGGCACCGGCACGTGGGCGCCGCGCCAGATCCTCGGCGGCTTCTCGGGGAGTTCCCCAGAGAGGCTGCTGGGGTTCTCCGAGGCGTTTCCCAGGAGCTCCTCGAGATGCCTTGCTCCGCTTTGCTCTGAGCCTGCGTCATGCTGCAGTGCACTGCGCGTCGCTCTGCATTGTCTGCATCGCTCTGTTTCGCTCTGCGATGCTCTGCTATGCATGGCTCAACATTGCATTAAATTGCTCTGCACTGTTTCGCATTGCGTTGGATTGGTACACATTGGGTTGCAGCAGTTTGCATTGTTCCGCACTTGTTTTGCGTTGTTGAGAGTCGTTTTGCATTGTTCCACATTTGCCCCATTGCAAGGAATTGCGTTGCACTGCTCTGCATGGCCGTGCTTCGCGATTCTGTGCGTCGATTCGCACCAATTGCAATGCTCTGCCTTGCTTTGCGTTGAACTTCGTTGCGCTGTTCCACCTTGATGTCCCTTGCCTGGCGTTGCTCTGCTTTGGGGTGCAAAGATTCCCACTGGCGTTGCACCGTCTTTGCATATCGTTGGACTGTGTTCCAATATTCTACATGGCACTGCGTTGCTGTGCTTTGAAGCCCATTGTTGCCCACGGCTCATGGAGATTTGACTGCAGTGCAGACACCAAGGCGGAACTAGACAACACGGCTGCACCAGCGAGCCAATTGGCTCAGATGATCTCGCCAGAATGTGTGGTGAATTCGAGTCGACTGAGCGCTTACACCTGAAAATTGCCAATCCGGGTGAGCTCTATTAATTGCCGCTATTGCTGTCATCATCATCATCACCTTCATCATCATCATCATCATCATCATCATCATCATCATCATCATCATCATCATCATCATCATCATCATCATCACCATCATCATCAGCATCTTCTGCTTCATCATCATCATCGTCATCCTCGTCGTCCTCACCATCATCACAATCCTTCCGCGGGTGATGTTTCCTTCTGGCTTCGGCAATGGTTGTAAGCATCTCACGCGCGTGACGAGCGTGTTTAGCAACCAGGCTGCACACTCTCCCTCATCTTCCTTGTCCCTTGTCGTTCGCGTCCCCCTTTCAACCAATCCGGCGGAATGCCCGCCGATCCTGCCGCGACAGGGCTGCGCACCGATTCGGTGACAGCCAATTACGTTACATGTTCGTTGCGCGTTGCCGCTCTTGGAGGGTTCTCATGGCACCCCGGGGCAACACAAAGCGTGGGAACCTCGCTTTGTAGGCTGCGAGTCCCATCACTCCGTCCCTCCTTCATCGTGGTGGAGAGGTGGGAATATGAATCGGTAGAGAGTTACAAAGATAGATGGACATATTTTCAAGCGTGGGCACAGAATAGTCGGATCTGCCACTCGAGATGTACAATCAATGTGGTAAAGTCTGTACCCTGCGATTCAACATGTATGGTGCAATATACGTTCTGTCGCTTATGTGGCACATTATAATACGCACATGTGCCGCTTATGTTCTGCCGCTTATGTTGTGCCGCTTAAATGTATACATAGAGATATGCACATTGTTATACACATGCGTACGTATACGTGTAAGTAGATGTACCTGTACATACATGTATGCATATACATACACGTAAGTGTATACGATATGAGCCATGCATGTGGTGCAACCTATGCATGGTGAAATGTATGTGATGTAAGTCTATGCGGTGCAACCTACGTCATGCAATCTATACAATGCAAAATGTGTGGCAGAACGTGCGCATGGTGCGAAATTACTGGATGCATTATCATATGTGTCGCACACACCTGCGCGGTGCTATGGGGCCATGGACATTGGGCATCTGCGCGTGGCAAATTCGCATGCTCGAACAGACGTCCCGACCACTCGGCCACAGCCTGTTGGCAAAACTCCACTGGGCCGTGAGTTCAGTGATCCCTCGGAGCTTGCTCGCGAATCACACGTGGCGACGTGACTCGCAGACCCTGCAAATGCAGATCAATGCGTCGGGTGGGCGAGTGAGGACAGCGACGACGACATGGACGACGAAATGTCCGACGACGACGACGACATGGCCGACGACGACGACGACGACGACGACTACGACGACCAGACAGGGGGACGGCATGAACGATGATGATGATGACGACAGTGGTGAGGACGACGACGATGACGACGACGAGGAGGAGTAGGAGGATAATGAAGGTGATGATGGTGATGATGATGACGCTGACAGAAGTGATGGTGGCGATGGGACGGTCCCAAAAATCCACGCGAACCTCCAAACATGTATGTGTATGGATTTCTGTTGTTGGATACTTGGAGCGCGTTTCTGTATGTTCGGCGATGACGGGCGTCATGGGGGGGGGGTGAAGGGGGGGTATGACATGACGCCCCCCCCCGCCGTGTGGCTCCGGCACCGCAGCCGCGCCAACGCGCGCGACGCGACGAGCGACGAGCGACGAGCGACGACGACGACGACGACGCGAGCAGCATGTAGGTGGCGATATGCCCCACTGCGCCTGTGTACATCAGAACGCTCGCGTGCACCACAGCGCGCGTGTATACCACAGCCATTGCGTACACCACAGTGCTTGCGTGCACTACAGCGCCGGTGTGCATGCGCACACCAAAGCCACCATGTGCAACGCAGCGCCTGTGTAAACCACAATTCTTGCGTGCACCGCAGCGCCTGTGCACGCCACAGCGCGTGGCTACACCACAGCATACGCGTGCAACGCAACGCTGGTGTAGACCAGAACGCCTGTGCGCATAGGACAGGTAGAAGGAGCATGTACGTGAGGATCTGCTGCGAACAACTACACGCCACGCCAAGAAAGTACTGAGAATCGGACGCGACGTTCTTCCATCCTCCCTCCCCTTCCACCTCCACCACCTCCTCCTCCTCCTCCTCCTCCTCCTCCTCCTCCTCCTCCTCCCCCTCCTCCTTCTTACCCCCCGTCGTGCGGGTTGGCGCTACAACGCACGTGCGCATCTCAGCGCGCACCGAAGAATGGTCTATTGAATCGGCCCACTTGGCTCTCGGACGGCCAATTTAGCTGGAACCTCCTGGACGCAGATGGGAGTAGTTAGGGTGATGCGGGCGGACTCAGGACTACTCGTAGATTCCAGCAGCGCTGGGTTGTCCATAAGGATTATTCTCGATTCTCTTGTGGAATCCACAAGCGCTCCAATTTGTCATGAAGACTCGTTCTAACATTCTATATATATATATGTATATATATATATATATATATATATATACAACAGTGGTGTTGTGTTGCACGCGGTTGCTGTGGTGCACGCAGGCGGCGCCGTGGTGTACACAGGCACTGCAATAATGCACGCATGCGTTGTGGCGTACACTGGTGCTGTGTTGCACACGACTGATGTGGTGTATGCAAGCGCTGCGGTGTGCACAAGAGCTGTTGTGCCCGCAGGCACGGTGGCACAAACTGACGCTGTGTTGCACGCGGCTGTCATGGTGTACACAGGCGGTGTAGTGTACACAGGCACTGTGGTGCACGCAGGCACTGTGGTGTACACAGGCGTTGTGGTGCAAATCGCCACCTACATGCTAGCGCTACCCGTCCCCCGTCATTCCTAGGCATTCCCGGACGCCGCCGGCACGAAACGTGACGTCATCGACCCCCTCCACCCCCCCTAGATGATTGCCGTCATCGGCCCGGGAAAAAGAACAGGCTTCAGCTGCGTCCGCGCGCACGACGACTATGAGCGACGAGCGACAAGCCACGAGCGACGACGACGACAAAGACGACGACGACGACTGCGGACCAGACTCCTATGCGGATTCCTACGCGGACACCTACGCGGATCCCAATGCGCACGGCGGCAGTGCCCGGAGCGCACTGGGGGGGGGGAGCGTTACGTCATAGGAAGGAGGGGGGGGACTGGGGGCCATGACGCCCGTCATGCCCCAAGCAAGAAGGAAACGGGCTCTTGGGACCACTGCTCCGGCATTGCCCACTCGCTTTCACAAAAGCAAGCCTTCGTCATGAGCTACGTCCTGAGAGGGGACATCGCGCCACACTTGCACACCCCGCCGTCCACTGCCGACCAACATCGGCTATTGCCCACGATTTTTACCCCAGCCGAGCCTCTCCGAGAATGTGTGTGTGTGTGTGCCCCGCTGTGCTCACACTTGACGCTATGGACTCTTCCACATGGGTACCAGAGTGTGCCAGGGAACGGTGAGTGATCTAGGCAAATACGCGATGTAACGAGACGTGGCATCGACGAATCACTGACACGCCTCGTGCTTTTTACGCCATCAGCAGCCATCAAGTTTCTGCCATGATCATTGCAATGAGATGCCTCCTTGCTGGGTTGCTCGGATGCATGAGAACTTAGAAAAGGTGCTCGCGAATGCATGCGAAGAGGTAAGCACCTCTGACTGAAGATGCGGTACAGGCATCAATTCCGCAAGGGTTCTGCCCAGCCAAACACTGATGTCGCTGGCAACATTCTCGCGAAGAACATGCATGGAAGACCAACGGGGCAGGACTGACCCAGTATCGGCATGACTGCAGGGGAGAACTACGGCACCAGGCAGCCAAGTAGAAGCTTGATGTTCTTGCTCCCTGCCTGAAATTCTGATCACTCGCCGCTGGCATCGGCCGCACCTACGGTCGAATGCATTGGTTTAGCGCGTCACCCGTGCTGTTGCCCCATACGCGCCTGTGCGATTGCAGACTGAGCGCCTTTAGTGCACCCAGAGCCGACTGGCCCCAGATTTGCACCTTCAGGAGATGGGTCCAAAATTATATGCTAAGAGTCCGGCTATAGGACACCTTCCAGACATGCTGAACCCCAATAATCCCCAAGAAGGTCTCAGGGGTCCCTTCTGGGAACGAGGAGCAGCAGCTCCCCAGCTCCTCATTCTCGTCGTTCACATCGTGGTCTTTCCCTTTCTCATCCCTCGTCCCGCATCCCTCCGTCCCCAAATCCCTCGTCCCCAAGTCGCTCTCCTCCCCCTCAGTTTTCCCCCCCCGGTCGCTCCATCATCCTCCCTCCCCCCTCCCTCTCCTGCCCCTCCTTCCCTTCCCCCACTCCTTAAAGCTACAAGCTACGCGTCCCACGATCGGACGCTGATTTGGGGCCGGAGCGGCCCCTGGGGGACACTCCAAAGCCAACCTACCCGGCCGTGGGTCCGTGCACCCGCCCTGGTTCAGAGCAGCAGGGACTAGAAGGAGGGACGACGAAAATCTGGGAGTGAGCGTGAGCGCGACGGTCCACGAAACGGGGAGCGGTATGGCGGCGGAGCACTCGTTTTAAAATGTTATGTGCGCTCTGGCTTGACCTGACGTGGCTCTAGCCGACAGGCCAGGACCTGATCTCACAGGCGCAGGCGCTGCGCGCCCGCGCAACTCAACTCGGGGCTGCGCACGCAGCATGTCTTGGGCTGACCGCCCAGGCAGGGCCGGCAGAGCGCGGTGCCGCCCTCCCCCAGTGCTGGCTCCGGCCACGGCGCGGACCCGCACCGTGGCCGGACCCTCCCGGGCCTCAGCAGACCTGCTTGTCCGTCTCCAGGGTCACCGTCTTGTCCCTCGCGGCCCCAAGGACGTCCACGGCCCCGACCTCGTCGAAGAGGGCCTCGTACTGCATCGCCGCGTTGCTCCAGGTGAACTCTGCGGAGGCCGCCATGGCGGCCTTCATCATCTCGACCTCCTTCTCCGGAGTGCTCGTGTGGATCTCGCAGGCGCGGCGGATTGCCTTGGAGATCGACTCGCTCGAGGCGTCGTCCAGCTCAGCCTCCACCGTCATCTCCGCGTCGGTCCAGAGGCCGTTCACGCCGTCCTCCACGGTATCCTTCAGGCCGCCGGTGGGGGCGACGATGGGCAGGGTGCCCATGCGCATCGCCTCCATCTGGACAAGGCCGCAAGGCTCCCAACGAGATGGCAGCAGCGTGTACTCGCAGCCGGCGAGAAGGGCGTAGCGCTCGGGGCCCATCCAGCCGGCGTAGTAGAACTTCTTCGGGAATTTCTTCTCCACCGCCTTAGTTTGCTGCACAAGGTCGGCGCGGCCGGCGCCCACGATGACCACCTGCATCTCGGTGTTCTCGAGCACCTCTATCAGGCTCTCGAGCAGCAGGTCGTAGCCCTTCTGTGCGTCCAGGCGGCCGATGAAACACATCATGGGGCCACTGGAGGCGCCCAGGCCGCTCTCCTGCTGGTACGCGGCCTTCAACTGCGCCTTGGCGGCACCGACGGTGGCGGCGTTGAAGGTGCCGCAGCACATCTTGGTCTTGGTCACGAAGTTCTTCTCCTCGGGGGACACGCCCTCCTTCACGCCGTTCAGGATGCCGGTAACCTTGGCCAGGGCAAAGAGCCGCTCGAGCTCCACGCCCTTCTCCGGGTCGATGGCGCACTCGGCAGCGTAGGAGGGCGACACGGTGAGCGCACGGTCGCAGTAGCGAAGGCCCGCCGCCATGGTGTTCACCAGCTTGACCTTCTTGTTGTACTTGCCGACCTTCAGGGGCATCTGGAAGGTGATGCTGTCGATGTACTCCTGCGGCACGCCGAAGACCTCTGCGAGGCCAGGCTCCAGCTCAAAGCGGCCCTGAAACACTGCGTTGTGACACAGGAAGAAGGACTTGGTGTTGGCCCAGGCGGTCGCGTCCGTGCGCTTCTCGGCATCGATGAACATGGGCACCAGAGAGCTGTGCCAGTCGTTGGCCACCACGACCACGTCCTCGCCGTACGGGTAGCCTGCCAGGGGCAGCTCCTTCATGGCCACCAGCGCGCTCTTGCAGAAATATGCAAAGCGCGACTGGTTATCGGCAAAGTCCTTGCCCCACTCGGGGCCGTACAGCTTGGAGCCAGAAGGGCCATTCACGCGCTCCAGGAAGGTCGGGTGGTCCACGAAGACGTAGTCGACCTTCTGCTTGAACGTGTGGAAGAAATGCACAGGCTCCTGCGCGACCCCCATCGTGACGGAGCTCCAGAAGTTCGTGTCCCAAGCCTCCCTGTACTGGTCATAGCGCGGGCTGATGACCATGCAGCGGTGCCCGAGGGCCGCGAGTGCGACGGGGAGGCCGTCCATGGCCTCGCCCAGACCGCCTGTCTTGGAGAAAGGCGCAACCTCGCTGGTCACGAAGACGATCTGATACTTTTTGCCGACGGGCACTGTGGCCTTCTTGCCGGAGGTGCTGACGCCGGAGGCGCCAGCGGCGAGGGCGCGGCCCACCGCCACCGCCGCGGGCCCCTCCTTCGGCACCTCGGCGCTCTTGGGCACGGCCGCGATGGTCGCCGCGGCCGACTTCGCGTACGTACGCGCGGGACCTGCGGACTCCGAGACTGGAGTGGGCTGTGCACTGGGGTAGCCCGTGCCCGAGGCCAGCGCTGGCTCTGGCTTGCCAGTGACCATCTGGAGCACGCTCTTGGGCGCGGCAGCAGCGGCGGCAGAGGGCAGCGAGGCCGCAGCTGAAGTCCCGGCGGGGGCGGGCACAGCACCCGAGAACGAAGGCGCTGCGGAGGCCTTCGCCTTGGCCGCTGGAGGGGCCTTGGGCGCCTCGGCCTGAGCGCTGGCGCCCTTCGCCATCACCGAGCCCGTGGCCACCATGCGCTCCTGTCGACCGAAGACGACAAGTAAACGGTGCACCTTCCTGTGCCATCCGTGCTGCGCTCGCCCTGTAGAACCTACACGCACGCTTACATGCCAACACAGAATTTACACCAACATGCCTTCGCAACTACGTGCGTTGCATATGCCGTCGTCTGCCTCTGACTCCTCATATTCCGTTATCCCCCAGCGTGTCGTAAGCACTGGGTGGAGCGTCCTCAGGTGTCAAAGAAACCTGAGCATTCAATACTGCAATCGCTCTATAGGGGCCCCATCCGTCCGAGTTTAAGCGCTCTTGGACGCTCCTGGGCGCTGAATATTTCAAGTGGGGCCCAAGAGGTCCCCAAGACGGCCCCCGAAACTGCCAGCAGCCCAGGAAGAGGCGCCCAAGAAGCCCTCGAGAGGCCCCCAGGAGGCGGAGACCTCCAAGAGGCCATCAAGAGGCCCTCAAGACACATCCTAGAAGCTCGAAAAGAAGCCTCGCAAGAGAGCACAAGAAGCGCCCAAGAAGCCCCCAAGAGACCCCCAAGAGGCGGAGAACCCCAAGAGGCCATCAGAAAGCTCCCAAGAAACATCCTAGAAGCTCCGCAAGGTGGCGGAATGGGCCAACGGCCACTACATCTGCCGCCCCCTGTTGATTTATCACAGCGGTGCCGTGTGCTGAGGCTCGGGTGGTTCGTGGTTCTGTTTAGGACTCCCCCTGGGTCTTCGGCCCAACCCGCCGGCCACCCGAAAGGCCGCCGAAAATCCACATCCCGTGCCCCAAATCGCCTCCAAGACGGCCAAGATGGCCCAATACGGCCTCCCAGATGCCTCCAAGACGCCTCCAAGACTGCCCAGATGGCCCCAAGAAAGCCCAAGATTGCCCCAAGATGCACTCAAGAGGGCCCAAGATGCACCCAAGTCGTCCCAAGATGGCTTCAAGATGGCCCAAGACGGCCCAAGAGGCCTCCAAGATGCCTCCAAGATGGCCCAAGAGGCCTCCGAGGGGTCCTCCAGGAAGGCCCGCAGGAGCAAAACTCATTGATGTTCCTTGGGATTGTAAATGATGTTGGCATTTTCTCCTTGTCGGCCTTCCGAAGGCCCAACACGGCCCAAGAGGCCCCCAAGGTAGCCGCCAGAGCGCCCAAAGTGGCATCCAACATGGCCCCGTGACGGCCCAAGAGGCCTCCCAGACGGCCCCGAGGGCCCCAAGACGGCCCAAGAGACCTCCAAGACACCCAAGATCGCCTCCAAGACGGCCCTGAAGCCCAAGACAGCTTCTGACGGCGTCCTCCTCCAACTCCTTCTCCTCCTCCTCCTCCTCCTCCTCCTCCTCCTCCACCTCCTCCTCCTCCTCCTCCTCCTCCTCCTCCTCCTCAGCATCGTCATCCTCATCCTCATCCTTATCCTCCTCCTCATCCTCCTCATCCTCCTCTTCCTCCTACCTCTCCTGACCCTCGCCCGTGTTCCCCGAAGAGCTTCCAGAGCGGCTCGGGGGAATACATCGTCCGATAGCTTGGCCAAGCGGGGGCCCTACGATTGGCCACAGAGGCGCTTCCCAAAAAGGTAGAGGGCGGAGGTGATTCGCCGTAGGCGTCTTCGATCCGCCGCCCCATTGTGGCTTGCCACAGGGATGTACGACTTGCCAGACGTCCCACTGAGGCTTCGGCCCAACCCGCCGGCCACCCCGAATTCCCCCCCAAACCGAACTGCATTGGCCCGATCGCCTACAAGACGACCAAGATAGCCTCCAAGATGCCTCCAAGATGGCCTCCAAGACGGCCCAAGAGAGCCTCAATAGCGCCTCCAAGAGGCAAAAATCGATGATTTCCCCGAGGTGTTTGAAGGTTTGGGGCATTTGCTTCTTTTCGGCCTGTCGACGGCCCAAGACCGCGCAAGAGGCCCCGAAGATCGCCCCAAGAGGTCTCCAAGATGGCCGCATTCTCCAAGACTGCCCTCAAGCGCCCCAAGAGGGCTCCAAGTCGGCCCAGGAGAGTCCCGCAAGACGGCTTCCGACTGCGTCAGACGGGCCAGGAACGCCCTCAGACAGCCAAAGAGCCTCCCTAGAAGCCTCGGAAGGCCCCCCGAGAGGCCCAAGGAAGTCCCCAAGAGGCCTCCAAGAGGCCTCATTTTCCTCCTCCTCCTCCTCCTCCTCCTCCTCATTTTCCTCCCTCTCCTCCTCTTATTCTTCCTCCCCCTAGTCGTCTTCGATCCGCCGCCCCCCGTTGACTTATCATAAGGATATGTGGCGTGCCAGCCTGTTCCGCGCTTGAGCTCCCAATGTGATCTCGGCCGATCCCGTGGGCCACCTGGAGAGGCCGGGAAAGCTCGCCCTCCCTCGGTGCTTCCGCGCAAGACGGCCCCAAGATGGCCTCCAAGACGGCCAGGATGGCCTCCAATATGCCTCCAAAACGGCCGAGCTAGCGCCAAGAGGGCCCAAGACAGCCCAAGATGCCCTCCCTCTAAACAACCCAAGAGGCCCCCAAGATGCCCCAAGGGGGTTCCAAGAGGACCTCCAGGATGCCCAAACCAGTCAGTTCCGATTGCTTGTCAATGAGTTTAGCGTGCTCTCTTTTTCAGGCGTCCGACGCTCCAAGACGGCCCCGTAAGCCCCCAAGATCGCCCCAAGACGGCCCACGAGACCCTCAAGACGTCTGCAAAGCAGCCCGAGAGATGCCCCCCAAAACAGCTGCAAGATGGCCCCACAAACCTCCAAGACTTCCCAAAAAGGCCCCCAAGATAACCACCGAAAGGCGAAGAGAGGCCCCCCAGGGCCCCTAAGAGGCCCAGAATAAGCCGCAGGAGGCCCCTATTTAAACCCCAGGTGACATCCAAGAGGCCCCGCAGAGATCCTCCTTCTCCTCCTCCTCCTCCTCTTCCTCCTCCTCCTCCTCCTCATTTGTCCTCCATCTCCTCCTCTTCTTCTTCCTCCCCCAAGTGTTCTCCAAAGGGTTTCCACAACGGCTGGGGGAACCCGTAGTCCGATAGCTTTACCGAGCTCTGGCCGCAACGTTCGGCCACATGAGATCCTCCAAAAGGCCGGGGGCTGCGGTGATTCGCCATAGTCGTCTTCGATCCGCCGCTCCCCGTTGACTTATCAAAAGGATATGTGGCGTGCCAGAATGTTCCGCGCTTGAGTTCCCAATGTGATCTCGGTCGATCCCGTCGGCCACCTGGAGAGGCCAGGAAAGCTCGCCCTCCGTCGGTGCTTCCCCGCAAGACGGCCCCAAGATGGACTCCAAGACGGCCAATATGGCCTCCAATATGCATCCAAAACGGCAGAGCTAGCTCCAAGAGGGCCTACTACGGTCCCAAAACAATACAGATGGCCCCAAGACAACCCAAGTTGCCCTCCCTCGAAACAGCCCAAGAGGCCCCCAAGATGCCCCAAGAGGGTCCCAAGAGGACCTCCAGGATGCCTAAATCAGCTATTTCCGATGGCTTCTCAATGAGTTTAGCGTGCTCTCCCTCATTTTCGGGCGTCCGACGCTCCAAGACGGCCCCGTAGGCCCCCAAGATCGCCCCAAGACGGCCCACGAGACCCTCAAGAGGTCCGCAAAACAGCTCGAGAGAGGCCCCGCAAAACGACCGCAAGATGGCCCCACAAACCTCCAAGACGACACGAAAACACCCAAAGAGAAACCGAATACTTCCCAAAAAGGCCCCCCAGACAACCACCGAAAGGCCAAGAGATGCCCCCCGAGGCCCCCAAGAGGCCCCAAATAAGCCCCAGGAGGCCACCATTGAAGCCCCAGGTGGCGTCCAAGAGGCCCCCTCGGAGGCCCCCGAGAGGCTCCCAGAAAGCCTCCAGGAAACCACAAGACGGCCTCAAGAGGCCTCCTGTTCCTCCCCCTCGACAAAGCCGTAGCGCATCGTGAGTCCGACACGCTTCGATGCCGCGTGCGCCACCACGCCAGCGTGCGTGGGTGGCGCTCGCTGCCACATGCGCCGCCGACGCCGCCGACGTGGGTGGCGCCCGACTGCCGCTTGCGCCACGGCCGATTCCGGCGGCCACACAAGAAACGGAGTCAAGAACACTCGCCACCAGGATGACCACCAAGAAGACGGCTTCATCAAAGCCCAAATCTGCCCCAGGACGGCTTAACACGACCTCAAGACGGCCGAAGAGACCTCCAGGAGGCCCTCCAAAAGGGGCTCCCAAGAGGGCCTGAAGAGGCCAACATCATGTAGTTGCCCTTTGAAATGTATCAGATGTTCGCGTTCTCGTCTTTCCCGGCTACAGACAGCTGAAGACCGCAGGGGCCTCCAAGCTCGCCCAATACGATTCCAAGATAGCTCAAGATGTCCCCATGATGGCCCAAGATGGCCTCAGGACTGCCCATGAGACCGTCCAGGAGGAAACAAAAAAAACATGATGTAGGCGTCCGTTTTGGACTATCATGGATTTTCGCGTTCTCGCCCTGTCAGGCTTCTGACAGCTGACGACGATAGGGGCCTCCAAGATAGCCCCCAATACGGCCCAAGAAGCCCCCAAGAGAGCAACCAGACGGGCCAAGAGGCAAGCAAGATGGCCCCAAGAGGGTCCCAAGACGGCCCAAGAGACCTTCACGACGGCCCTACAGCGCCCCAAGAGGGCCTCAAGACGGCCCAGACAGGCCCGCAAGACGGCCCCCGAAGGCGTCAGACGGGCCAATGGAGCCCTAAGAGGCGCCCAAGAGGCCCGAAAGAGGCCCTCAAGGGGCCTCTCAGGGGCCCCAAGAGGCGCCCAGGAAGCCCCCAGGAGAAACCAAGAGGGCTCCAAGAGGCCTCCCCATCCTCCTCCTCCGCCTTCACCTCCCTCTCTTCCAGCTCATCATCTCAGCTCATCCTCTCCCTTCTGTGCTCTTTCTTTATTGTTTTCCCTCTCTCTGTCTCTTCCTTCTCCCAAGTGTTCCACCAAGGGTTTCCCCGACGGCTAGGGAAGCGCATGGTCCAATATCTTGGCCAAACTTCGGCCCAACGCTTGGCCACACAGCAAGTATTTCCGAAAGGCAGGGGTGGGCGGTGGTTCGCCGTAGGCGTGCTCGCTGTTTGCCAGAGCTGCGCTACATCGAAAGCGTGGTAAGTTTCGCTGCTCTCGTGGAACCATCCATGTCACGGGCAATTTCGCACGGCAGTCCTGGGAGGTGACCTGCTTCTGCCCCTCGGTCACGACGGCGGCGGCCGCGGTGCGTGCCACGGGGCCGGTCGCCTTCGCGGGTGCCGCCGCGGCCGCCGCCGCCTTGCCGGTCGCAGCGCCTCCGGCGACCAGCGAGGCTGCCTTGCCGCCCTGCGGCACCGCGGCAGGGTCGTGGCTGCTGGTGGGCCCGCCTGGGGTGTCCGGGTGGCCCTTCTTCGGCTCCACCGAGGAGGGCGCGGGCTTCTCCGACAGCGAGGCGACGGGCCTGGCGGGCGCCTCGAGCTCCGTCTTGCCCTTGGCCAGGGGCGGCTTCGGATTCAGCGGCTGCGGGGCGGGGTCGGCCGAGGCCGGGACCGCCTCCGGGGTGGCAGGCGCCGCCCTGGGCTGCTCGCCGCGCGGCAGCGGCGCCATGCCGGCCGGCTGCCCCGACACCGGGGCCTGCGTGCCCTCGGCCTTGGCTTTCGGGGCAGCCTTCTTGGTGAACATGCCCTCGGGCGCGGCGGAGGGGCACCGGGGCAAGGCGCACGACGCCTCGGGTCGATAGATGAGTGGGCCAAACAAATGGCTGTGGCACCGGCGGGTCAGACGGGAGGTCGGGGCCTACGAAGGGCAGTGAATGGAAGCCGTCCCCCTGGCAAGTCGTGGCTCGTGCGCGTGTCGTGTGTCACGTGTTCGCGCAGCTGTGCACAAGTTCCCCGGGGAGCTACGGTGGATGGCGGGAGGAACAGCGTTGCCCGCTCCCGCGGCAGGTGGCAGGTGTCCCCGCGGTGCCCCGATGGTGTGTCTGTGGTGATGTCCCGATCGATGTTGGAGGGTGTCCCAGTGGTGTCCCGTTGCTGTCCCGATGTTGTCCCGCTGATGGCTGTTGTCCCGCTGATGGCCATCTGGTATCCCGCTGGTGTCGTGGTGTCGCGGGGTCGGGTCAGTTATTCGACCACTCTTCGTTACACGTGTCTTATTCAATTGGCCACGTCACGAAACTGCACGTGGTCTACAAATCCAATCGATCCCTAATCGAAGGAGGCTCGCTGTGCTTCAGAGCACGTGCTTGGTAACAGGAGATATGTCGACCCCTATCCCAGGCTTCGTAAGGCCTTCGAATGGACAACAAAACTGCGGGCCAAACCCTGGATATACAATGGGGGGACGTCCATCCTCGATAGAGGTGCGTCCGAATAGCCCTCTTTGGGTGCATCCCAGAGCTTCTCATTTTTTCTGAGCGGCCAAACATTTCGGGCGGAACTCGGGGATTGGGAGAGAAAAATTGAAAGGGCCGGAAGCGACATGGTGGTGCCCCGCCTGATCCACGGGGAGTTCGCAGGGTGTTCCCCAGAGATTCCTTGAATTCCTCAGGGGTTCCTCGAGAGTGCTTTGCTTCGTTAAATTTGCAGCATTTTGCAGCGAACTGCATCGCTTTACATTGCTCTGCATCGCTTTGCGTTGCTCAGATTTACATTGTTCCGCATTGCATTGAAATGCTTTGGCCTGCGTTGCATCGTTTGGAATTGTTCCGTAGTTGTTTGCGGCGTTGCTGAGCGTTGTGTTGCGTTGCTCTGTATGTGTACCATTGCTTTTCATTGTAGTGCATTGGTCTTCATTGCTGTGCTTTGCAACACTGTGCATGGATTCGATCATTGCGTTGTTCTGAGATGTTCTGCACTGATTTCCTTTGCTTGACGTTGCTTCGCTTTGAGGTGTGATAAGTATTACCACGTTTTGCGATGCGCAGATTTGCCAATGTGTGCTGGTTTGCTTTGTGTTACCGGGCATTGGGTCGATTTGCTTTGAGTTGATGGACTTGCCATGGCTTGAGAACATGCGCGTCTGGTGTAGGCGCGGCGACGGAGCTAGGCAACACGGCAGCACCAGCAGGCCAGCTAAGTCAGAAGATCTCGCTGGAATGTGTGGTGATCTCTAGTCGGCGAAGTATTTCACAGGGGAGCGTTGGCAATTTTCGTGAGCTCTGATAGTCGCCCACTGTTCTAACATGCGAGCTGTCCACCGACGTGGCATGGCTTTTCAACACGTGGGCCCTCGAATTCCCGACCCCATCCCCGTGACAGGCTTTTTATCGCGGATTGTCGTTCCCCAACTAGCCCTTTCTGAGCAACAAGCTCGGTTGGCTAGCATAGGCCCTCCACCCCTGGTGACCCAGGGCTTTTTCCACAAAGGACTCCATCCCTGGTGTCCGGCTTGGTCCTTCGGAGGTCCTCAGATTCCTCGGGGTGTTCCCAAAGAGGTTGCCCAGATTCTACAGAGGGTCCTCGAGGGTTCCTCGAGTCTTTTTTTGCCGGCCCCAAGACTCGGTAAGGGCGCGAGGAGGCAGAAGAACTACCAAAGAGCGTCCGTCGACGACGACGACAACGATGACGACACAGGTGACAACGACAACGCACGCCGACGACCGCGACGACAACGACGACGACGACGACGACAAAGCCGACGACGACGACGACGCCGACGCCGACGACGACAACGACAAAGATGACGACAAAGGCGATGACGACGACGCACGCCGACGCCGACAACGACAACGACAAAGATGACGACAACGGCGATGACGACGACGACGACGACGACGACGACGACGCACGCCGACGACGACGACAACGGCGACAACGACGACCACGACGACGACGACCACGACAAACAAACGACGACGACGACGACGACGACGACGACGACGTACGCCGACGACGACGCAACCTGACGACCCAGACGACACCGATGACGCACGCCAGCGACGACGCCGTCGACGACGACGACGATAAAGGACACGGACGACGACGACGACGACAACGACGCACCACGTCGCACGCCGACGACGACGACGAACCGATGACGACGACAAAGACGACGACGAAAACGACGACAATGACGATGCCGGCGACGCACGCCGACCTCGACGCCGACGACGACGTCGACACCGACGACGACAAAGCCGACGACGACGGACGACGTATGACGACGCAAGACGACGACGACGAAGACGACCACGACGATCACGACAAACACGAAGACGACGACTACGACAACGACGAACACGACAAAGATGACGAAGCCGCACGCCGACGCCGACGCCGACGCCGACGACGACGACGGCAAGACGACGACGACGACGACGACGACGACGACGACGACGACGAGACGACGACGACGACGCCGACGCCGACGCCGACGCCGACGCCGACGACGACGACGACGACGACGACGACGGTGACGACGACAACCGACCGCGGCGGCGGCGGCGTCCTCGTGCGATACCCACGCTGCAAGGACGGCGTCCAGGGCCGGGTCGCCCCGCGTCGCCCCGCCAGCGGCCGACGCGCGCAGGGAGTCCTGGCTAGGCGGCTGGCGGCGGCGGCGACATCACCATCATCAGCACATAATTTTCAGTTTCATCCGCAACAACAACATCAGCATCATCATCATCATCAGCATCATCACCATCGTCATTATCAGCATCGTCATCATCACCGTCAGAGCCAACAACAGCATCATCAGCATCAGCATGCTCAATAACAACATTAACACTAACAGCAATCATCGTTAAGACTGTTCGCTCTTATCTGCTTGCGTGCCAGTCAAAATCATATATCGCGAGCCCTCGATACCCGCCCTCTTCGTCTTCGGCAGTACCCGCTTGGGGGGGTATATCTCTTACCTGCAACGTGTATATCGTGGAGCCCGGAAGGCAGGGGAAGAGATGACGGACGGAAGGAAGGGACAATGGCGAGGAGGAGGATGGAGCACGAGAGAGAATGACGGCAAGGAGGCTAGGAGCAAAAAACACGTGACAGAACCAGGCGGGCAGACCCTGCGGGTAGACCCTACCAGGCGGGTCGGGAAGGAGGGCCCAGGCGGCCAGGTCGAGCAGGCGGGGTGCTGAAGCGTGCGTGCTGCATGAATCGCAAGGAAATCTCGAGCGACAGCTCGATTCCCAAATCCATCGTAAGGAAATCCACAGAGAGAACATGACTCCTGAATGTCGAGGGCGCGGCGTCTGAATGAATTGCGAGGGAGTCCCACGCGAGAGCGCGATTCCTGAATGATTTGTCAGAAAATCCCGCGCGAGAGCGCGATTTGGGAGTAAATTGTGAGGCAGTATCAGGCGGGAGCCGTTGGTGTTGTTGTAGCTCGGGGGCCAACAACGCAGTTTTACCCTTGTGACTTTCTCTTTAAAAAATTCGCCGGCCCAACGGGCCAGGGCGTGCTAAGATCTCCGGTAACTGGTTAACAGTATTAACAGTATTTCTAGTTCGCGCGCGCGGGGCGGCCCCTGGGGGTCCCCCGGCGAAAAGTACCCCGACCAACGCCCGGTCGCCGCCCGACCGCCGCCCGACCAAGTCTACTCAGAGATGGTTTTCCTTCTGGGTGCGGCCTCTCAGGCTCCCCAGAGCGCGCTCAGAGTGCCCCAAGAGGCCCCCAAGACTGCCCAAGAGGCCCCCGAGACGCCCAAAGAGCGCTCGAAGACGCCGAAGATGACCCCAAGACGGCCCAAAAGGCCCCCAAGACAGCCCAAGAGGCCTCCAAGACGCCCCAAGAGCCTTCCAAGAGGCCTCCGAAGAGAGCCCCAAGAGGCCAAAATCGTTGATTTTCATTGGTTTTTTCGATGTTTTTTGTGTTCTGGCTTTTTCGGCTTCCGGACGCTCCAAGACGGCCCAAGAGGCCCCCAAGACCGCTCCAAGACGGCCCACGAAGCTCCCAAGACGGCGCCGAAACGACCCAAGAGAGCCCTCAAGACGGCCCAAGTGCCGCCCAAGACGGACCAAGAGGCCCCAAGACGGGCCCAAGAGGGACTCAGGAGGGATACCGAGAACTCAAAAATGGAGCCCTCCGTCCCAGAAGGCGCCCAGGAGGTCCCAAAGAGGCCCCAAGAGGCCTCCAAGAGGCCCCAAGATGTCGCCAAGAGGCCCCAGGAGACTCCCAGGAGGCCCAAAAGAAGCCCCAGAAGGCTTCAAACATGTCTCCCAGGCGCCCCCGAACGGCCTCTCAACAGACCCCAAGAGGCCCCCCAAAGAAGCATCTTGACGACGACTCTATTTCGCCCCATCGAGAGACGACCCCCAGGGAACTGCTTCACCATCAAAACTCCCCACGCAACGCGTCCGAACGACACCCGCCCCCAAGAGCGCAACATGGGCAACGAACACACAGACAAAAACCAGCGATGCCATATCACGGGCCGGCGGAATGAGCGAAGCGATTCAATAAGGTGCGAGCCCCGGGAAGCGCACTCCAATTGAAGAAACAAAATGGCCACCGAGGGCTCAACAATATTATTGTTGGGTAGTGAGATCTCAACAACAACAATAATCATTTCACCCTCATGCGCGATGTTTCCACACGAAACATGCGACCATCATGATGACCATCCCCATCATCGGTGAATATTGTTCTATAGCGGGGTCCGTTATTCCCATTCCCAGATCTCCCGCCGAATGAGGTCTTGCAAACACCTCCTCCGATTAATTTCAACATATGCCGCCTCGAAAACACATGCCCGCGCCTTGCTGCGCCGATGCGAGACCACCAGTCGAGCCCCAGCCAAGGGTAAAGCACAAGCAAGCATCGAGCGACAGGATTGCCTTGGTGGGGATGGGGGCTGTCGGCGGCGAGGCGAAGACCTGGCCCTTAAT